TGAAAAATTCTCTACCAAACGAATTCGATTCCATCGTGATTTCCGTACTGTGGCGATGCGTGGCATTTTGCAGGATGATTGCTAGATTTGCCCCGTGTCCAGGTCTAGCTTCCGAAAATGACGGGGAGGGAGGGGAGCATCGCAATATCGTAGGATTTTCTATTTTTTTATGCTCAAAATTACGCTCTTTTTTCTGATATTTTTTTACTTTCTCGCTACTACGAATTCTTCATAAGAACAGAAAGTTGTGTAATAGTGCAGAAAACACCGATATTTTGCCAGAAAAAACCTTGTTGCCGGGTTCTGGTAACGAAAAGGTGGATAATTTCTGTTGTTAAATTGAGAAAAAAAATCCCGTAACTCGTGGTGTACAAGAATCCATGTTTTATTTGTTCTTGTTGCCGAAAAATCGATTGACAGCAAAACGTGTGTATCTGACTGTGTTCGTCAGTTCGTCCGTCCGTCCGTCCGCCCGCCCACCCGTCCGTGCGTGCGTTCGAGCGTTCGTCCGTCCGTCCGTCCGTCCGTCCGTCCGTCTGTGGTCAATGCTAACCCTAAACCGCTCAGCCGATTTACTTTCAAATTGATATTCCCCAATCGATCTGAATGAACTCGTGGCTTTGGGAGTTTCAAATGAATATTTTTATTTCTGAGAGTACTTCACACAAAATCTCAAAAAAAATTTCATAGTTTCCTCAAGAAATAATTTTAAAACCTTAAAAATTGGAGATAGATGTTTTTGTCTCAGACAAAAAAAGACTTGTAAAAAATTAGCTCTTTAAAAAAGTCATTTACAGTTTTTTTGAAAAACTAGCAGTTTTGCGTAATTTATACTTGAAATTAATAAAATATATACAGGTTTCACACCAACTACGGGCCACAAGAAAAATTGAATGAATCATATGAAAAGTAATTAATTTAATTTTAATTAAAATTTACTATTGAAAATACCTATATTAATTTTATTTTCATTTTTTTCTTTTTTACTCAATTTGTATTCTCAATGTATTTATGTACCTCTTTTTAAGCAAACCGCAAAGCTTAATAGAAATTTCGTAACAATACCGCATCGATATTTGAGAAGCTAATTGTTGTCGAACGTCGATATGTTAGTGGTGGTAAGATACATCTGTTTTATTTAGTCCAACTGGTGGTGGTGGTGGTGAAACTCCTAGGCCGAGAGCCTGTACTTCCGTTTGCGATGAATTTCGCAGCAGTTTTTTTTTTATAAATTACTGCTCAGCAGAGGCGGGATTTTGGATCTTTTATTAAGGAGTCAAAGTGTCCCCTACTTAATATGGTAAAAGGTTCCCTTAAAACAAATGTCATAAGAGTAGGTACACTATATTTCTAACATTAACATACAATTTTTAAAGGATTTCTTATCCCTCGTCCCACACACACCTCTACAGCCAGAAACATGTTTTTTTTTATTTTAATTTTTTGACAACCTAACAATATTTTATAGGATTGAAAAAAATGAAAAATAACAAAATAAATATATACTATCAGAAATTTTTATTTTAATTTTCTCATAGCCAAATTTAATCATACAGTTTTTTTAAAACATATAACAAAAAATAATTTTACTATCTTAGAACCCTGGAAGAGGCTTGAAAGAAATCTGAAAAGTTCTTCTTAAATTACAAAATGTTTTGAATTTTTGTAAATTTTGTTGATTGCTGAGCTGTAGTTAAAAAACAATTTTTACCATTTTATATAGCATGCACTTTGAAAATGGCTGCAACGGTTCTGAGCATTTATTGGAGTGTTTATTATACATTTGTAATTAAAATTGATCTGTTGTTAGCGTAAATGTATGAAGTCAGTGCAAATGCATTAAAAATGACGTAAAAAGTATAAAATGATTTATTCGTCGAACTTGACGAAAAATGTGAGGTGTAACATATAAAAATAGACCATTTACTTTTTTCATAATATAAAATTAATTTCTACACTAAACGACATTGTTTTGCAGTGAAAAAACCCTAGAAATAAGTTAAATCTTCTTTCATTTTGTAGCATTACTCACAGTTCGATTTTCTCCGTATTCGCTTGAAGTTCTTCAATTTTAATACATTTGCCACAACGTTTGGAAGTTTTTAATCTTCTGGCCTTATTCGAAAACAAATTATCACCACCAATTTTATCTCCACCAGGAGATCGAGGCGCGTCGAATGACACCTGTCTCGATTGGTGCATGGAAAGTGGACTAAACGTGAGTGTCGGATCCGCACACACGTATACTCGCCGTAACTCAAATACTATGTAGGGACTAGTTGAATATGGCGTCTGTTTTCAAAGTATTTCCATCTGTTGAAAATCTATGTCATCCATAGCTTTGTTCAAATAAGTGCGTAGTCTCTAGCATCAGACATACCAATGATCCGTAGAAGCTAATAATGTTTTAACCCTATTCAAAAATTTCCAACAGCAAATGGCCTTCTAATATTTCATCTCCATTGGGGATAATAACTGGTAATATTGTAATTTCAACATTATAAACGCCATAAAGTACTTGAAGGAACGAATGATGCTGAATAATTAGAATTAGTACAGCCACATATTTTTAGTTTTTTTTATAATATGCACAAAAATGCAAATAAATAAAACCATTCAACGTTATTCCCTAACATGATCATTCTCAATTTAGTTCCGGAAATTCTTCCCAAAATATTCTACCACTAAATTTTGTATTCCCTGGATTTGCTTAACCTTTCCATATTTTTGTCCCCTAATTTTTGAAGAGATTAAATCTCCATAAAGTCAGTCTAATTATATTTACATCTACTTCTGCAATGGCTGTATTTATCGTTTTGTAAGGTAGGCGAATCTATATAAAAATTAAAAGGAAACTGTTTTGTATATAATGTGAATAAGGTGTTAGTAACGTGATCTGGGATGTCACATCACTCTGGCCGCGGAAGCCTACGACTTCAAGATGTTAGTAACGTTTTAATGAGAATAAGTTGTTATTCACATTCATTTGAAAATCGGTATTTGCACGATTAAGAATGTAAATGTGAAAGTCGAACGTCAGAACGTAAACATGCTTCTATAGCTTTACTCACAGTTTGGTTTTCTCTGGTACCTGAAGTTCAAGTTCAATAAGTTCCAAGGCAATACTGTTCGTTGGTTTTTGCAGATGTATTTTTAAAAAGGTATTAATACGGACACAAATTAAATGAAATTGCCGCGGAGCCGCGGGTATTTCGTTGTCGCATTCAATGTAACCTTCATAGATATATTTGGGTGACGTTGGTTTAATTCCCATCATACTCACTAAGATGGCAGTTTAAGAAAAAACCTCAAACACACATTTTCGAATATTTTTTTTAGAATATTCGGGCCTGATCCAAGAACAAATTACCAGTTCCCCACCAGGAGATCAAGGCGCATTGAATGACTCCTCATACTTTCGATTGGTGCACGGGAAGAGATCATCTAACGAGGAGTGAGTGATGGATCCGCATACACGCACTCAGTTACTCAAATGCAGTATAGAGATTTTGTTTTCCAAATACAGAAAAAAGTAAATCTTTTATAATATAAATTTGAAGATCCACGAAATAAATAATATATTTTTAAAATTGATATTAAATTTTTTTTGTCACCGATATTGGGGGGCAGTTGCCCCCCCCCCCGCCCTTGACACCTCTGAATCCCGCCTCTGCTCATCAAAATGCCCGATGAGGTATGTTATATACTATTTAATATCATCTGATCCCTAATAGTTATTTCTGCACCAAGGACGTTAAGATGGTTCTAATGATCGACCGGCGACACACCGAGATCATTAGAAACAGTTAGCATTCGTAGTACATACATAATTTTAATTTATACCTAATTTTATTGATTCAGATTTACTTATTTACTAATTCTCTAGATGTGAACTTGACTTGGTTTGTCTTTTTCATATTTCCTTTCCATAATTCCCTCTCATATGAAAACATTTAGCACCATTCAACTGTTTTCACATTTCTCTCGTAACCACGGTCCTCTCGATTCAGGTAAGCAGCGTATATCGAACTGCGTATTTGAAGGTAATAACAAGCCATAACGTCTCAGTAAAAAGTTAAAATATTTACTGCGTATTGAATAAAAGAAAACGATGAAACGCTGTCGAACTGTTATCTTTCGACGAAAAGCAACTCACGAGTGAGCAGCCAGAATTTTCGTAATTATTTTGATGTAAATTGCATATATTCTAATTACTGTACTGATATTATTAGCCATATTGCGCTGCCAGTAGTGCGTTGCTCGCTTCTTGGATGAATTGAGACGTTTTCAAATAATAGCTGAGGCGTTAGTGCAGAAAAAGCACAATATCAATATTACGTAATTGTTTCCAATAACGCGAGAAAGTACGTGCTGTTGTAGCTCCACTAGTTTTTATTACGAATTAATTTGTTTGTTAAAGACTGTAGCGGAATAAGAATGTAAAAAAAACGCCCCCAAACAATTTGAACCTAGTCTACGTGGAATACGTTTGGGACCAAGAGAAGACAACAGTAAAATTTATCAATTTACGCCCACCCCCTCTTCTCTTCATTTTATAAAATAAAAACGTGTGTTCTTATATTTCATTTTTCTTTGCATAGTTGGCTTTGTCGGAGGTCTACATTTGCAAAGATCGTTTGGAGCGTTGTAACTAACACATCTAGATTCCAATTCATCCATGGTAATAAGATGTAGTACGACTATTATTAAAAGAAACAACTGATTATACTGTGTACTCTCTGCTGTGTACATCAACGAGCTAGAATATACAAGTTAATTTTAGCCCGTTGGTCTACATTGAACTCTGCAAAGAAAGTAGAATCAATATCGTTTCTTATAATACTACGTAAATATACGCACGAAATTATTTTCATCAGATTCGAGTAACTTTTAGAACTTTGTGATCTGTAGCTCTTTCCAAGTCAGATATACTCCTTGAATATTGAAGAGAACTACAGTTTTGCTTTTGAGTTGATTTTCTGCAACCATTCTTCCGTGATGTTTCCGTGGTGGAGTACTTCTTACCAAGGTGGAAAGTGTTTCCACTATCATCATTGCCATGATGAAAATTGCTATTATCTACCATGATTCTTGCTAAGAAATGTATTTTTTTCTAATATCGATAATAATCGAAACGTTCTACCACGACGTGAATGCGACTCGATATATCGATGTAAATGTCAAAAACATGGACTGTCTTTCCTCCGTCATCAAAATGCATCAAGACATGTTGGTTATGTAGATAAAAATAAGTGAATTTTTTTAAGCAATTGATGACGGATAACTGTAGTATATGCATTGAACGGGTTAACAAGTTTACGTATATCCATGATGGCTGATATGTAATTGTAGTGAACGTAAGCGGTGTTCTAAACTAAAAATTAGTGCCATTATATGGTTATTTATTTATTTTTCGATTTCAAATTGTACACATTTTAATGTTCTGTGGTGTTTCTAGATTTAAATTTGAATACAGAGAATTGGTGTTTTCTTTCATTATGCCGAAAGTAGTTTCTCGCAGCATTGTGTGCTCTGATACAAAAGACCAAGAGGAATACAGTGAGGAGAAACCCTTACATATTTATTACTGTATATGTGGCCAAATGACTTTGATACTTGGTGAGTTAATATTTATTGAATTTAAGAATTGGTGAATATGCAAGTGGTTAATTTCATTCTTGCAAATGCCATTTTTGCAGATTGTGCCATAGAGAAGTTGCCTTTGCGTAAAAGAGATGGTGCCAGAGTGCTAGATGGAAGTAAACATGCGCATAAAATAACATGTGACCAAGATGAGACTGTACATATAAAGAGACCTGAAGGAATTGAAAGACAATTCCGATTGAAATGCAAGAAGTATGTATCAGAAAAGTGTTTCTTTTTGCTCTAGGCATCAATATTTATTTCATGATTACATCTTTTGTGAAAGTCAGTGGTTTATTAACAGAGAAAAATAATTATTTAATAGTGATTTATGTCTCGTGTAAAAAACATACACCTCACCTGGCAGTATAACTGACGAAACAATGATAAATAAATGGAATAAAAATTTGCGAGTCTCAAATTAAGAATCTTGTCCATGAATTGAAATCTTTTTAGCTTCATACATTTTAGCAAAATTACTTGCTAAATAATTAAATACATTTTTTCTTTATTAACTCTTAACTACCCTGTTGAAAATCACTTACGCCTAAGCTCTGGCGGGTTTCTCAGGTGCCCCAAGAAGTATATCACTATTGATCTTCATGATAAAAATTATTTCAAATTTTGTTCTTTGAATTAGTTTACAGAGTTTAGAATAATAAGGAAAAAGTAGATTACAAACAATTTTTACTCATTACATTTCTGTGATCTGGGCATGTATATTTACAGCACTTTTCGCAAATTATCTTTCTCACACACATATAGCATCTTCCTTTTCTAGGTTCTGATCCAGGATGTTGAAGGAAGGGGAGTTTGCTTTGTGATTATACTGTAACGCAAATCATAACAGTCAAATTACATACAAAACATCAGTCAAGGGAATGAAAAATGACTTACTTTCGGTGGGGTATTCTGAAACCTTCTCCTCAAACTCCAAAAATAAACCTTAAATCGCTTTGAACAACCAGTCAAAACTAATAACACAATGCTACTGAAGTGTAATGTCTACATGAACACTTCCTAGTAATTGGTTTCCAAATTATAATGACATATACTTCAGCCAGGGGACTCCAGGGCCCCACCAGAGTAGTTAAAGGTTCATATTCCTTTGCAAAATGTTTATGGTGTTTTCTGAGACTTACCTTGGTCAAGTTATTAAATAATATTTGCATATAATTTTTTTTTTATGCATAATTTTAAAACAGACAATGAAAACATAATATCGCATTGAAATTTAGAAAACAACATTCAATTCTCGTAAGAAATGAAAGAGTTCTATCGAAAAGTTACATTTGGAAGATTAAGTGGTATGTTCTTCTTTTTTTTTCATGAGTTGCATACTTATGTATTCTTAATTATACTTTCAGATGTGGACTTTTACTTTATTACAAGCATGAACTAGCAAGCAACATTAATTTTATTGTCAAAGGATCAGTTATTAAAAGTTCAGGAGAGGGTCCAATGACTACCATATACAATCAAGTAGCAGTAGAGAAACCGAAGAAAATAATGGTTACCAAACACACAAAGAATATGGGAAAATTCAGTTCAGTCACAGTTTCAACAATTGATGAAGAAGAAGATGAAATTGAAGCTGTAAGTTATGTTTCTATTCAACTTAATTTTTATTTTTTGTTATGGATATTTGCCATTATAGCTCATAATAAGATGGAAAAAGTACTTTTATTTGCTGCCGATTTTAGATGTAATTGATTTAAATAATGCCTTATAATATCATTCTTTCCTGAGGAATATTGTGTTTTTATTTATGATACGTTAAAGTTACTATGCAAAATCAACAAGAACAAGATGACCAAAAGCTGCCTAATTAAAATTTATGGTACAGAAGCTTGCAAAAACTCAGTCCAACAGTTTGTCATTGGCATTTCTCACAGATTTAATAGTAGTAGTTTAAACCAAGCTCCTATTCTACTGCATACCATTCCATTTTTACTTTCCCATATACATACGTTTATACAGGGTAAAATACATAGTATAGAGAAAGTTATGTAATGCTGCGGAAAATCAATTTTGAGATTTTAACGGAAATACATGTTTTGGGGTCTTCTGATACTGAAAAAGTTTTTTTTTTCTTTTTTTTTTCTTTCTTTCTTTTTTTTTCTTCAAAACCTCTTGTCTTACCCAACTGTCCGTCCGTCTGTATGATGTATGTGAACAACACTAGTGTTTAAACCATGTATAGGAATTTTTTCCAAATTTGTAGGCCCTATCTATCTGGCCTGAGTCGAAGCTCTGCGATTTTGAAAATCATTCATTAGTTTTTAACTTTACATGAAGCCCCTGGGACATTTGTAAATTATACTCAAAAACGGCTACAAATTTATTTTGTAAATTTCGTGTAAGAATAAAGTTAAATGCACTTATAAATGAGGCAAAGGTCCGATTTTTACGGTTAACTCCGAATTTTCGAAAATTTCAAGTTTGAATTTTTTTGGGTGTCTTCCTACAACTTCAAAACTGAAGATAGAGAATCAAATTTGTTCCTTCATTAAGGTCATATACATTTTATTGAAAAATGTAGTTTTCACGCAGTATTGCTTGCAATTTCTGCAATTTACAAAAACTAGTTTTTCTCAAAAACGGCTCCAAATTTTTTCTTTAAACTTTTGGTAGGGATTGTGCTAAAGGCACTCTATGAAATGACATAAACGCCATATAGCAATATTCTTTTGGTTTTTCAAAAATTATAAAAATGTAATTATTTGACTTGTCCCTCATGTCTTTAATATTTATATTAGCGGCAATTTGTTCACATTATTGTATTTATGAGTATATGTGTGTTAAATAAAGTCAGATAAATCTTCGTGAAAACTCAACAATTTTCTTTGAAATCTAGGTCAAATTTCCCCATTTTCAGAAACGTTCAAACATCAGTTTCTCAAAAACAGCTCCAAATTTTGTCTTTAAAGTTTTTGAAAGAATAGTGCTAATTGCACTCTTCAGTATGACATACTGTCATTTTGAGGTGTTTTTTGTTTCTTCAAAAGTAACACAATGTAATTTCTGCAAGATCTCTGGCCACTTGATCTGGCTAATGTCGCGGCCCCCTTGAATTTGTAATCTATATATTAATTCCAGGTCACACTTTACATAAAGCACCTGTGAATTTTTTTAAAAAAATGGCTCCATTGTTTTTGATTAAATTTTGTTGTTGGATGCTGTGGACGATTAAGAGAATGATGCAGGTCTCATGTTGGTTAAAAACCCTTATTTTTCGAAAATTGCAAAAAATTCAAAATTTTTTCGGCATCCTAAAACTGCAATAACTGAATACATAACATATTTTACTTTCCCTTATAGTACGAATATACGGAGTAATATGTAGCATATGGAAAGTTATGTAATACTGCGGAAAATCGATTTTGAGATTTCAACGGAAATACACATTTTTGGTTCCCGTGATACCAAATAAAGTGTTTTTTCTTTCAAAACTTTCTTCAGTCACTGAACCCCACAGGGCCTATACCCCACGTACAATTTTTTTCCAAAATGGATATATTCAGGCCGATCTGTACCCACTTGAGGCGCCACGATTTTGAAAAACTTTCTTTAAAATTTGGCGCTACATTATATGTAGCACTCTGGACATTTTCAAAATTTTCCCAATATCGGCTCCAAATTTTTTCTTTGAATTTCTTATAATAATAAATAAGCATAAAGTACACTTATAAAGGTGGTATAGGTTCGATTTTAATGGTTAACTCTGAATTTTTGAGAATTTCCAAATGTTTCGGGCGTCTTCCTACTACTACAAAACTGAAGATAGAGAATGTTTCTTAAATAAAAATAAATAAATTAATTAAAAAAAAAAGCTCTCCATAGTAAGTTCTTGCATTAGGATCATGTTCTTTTTGTCGTTTTTTAATTTTGTCAGTTTTCACACAAGATTGCGAGCAATACGTACAATGCGTTTTAAAAAAATTATAAAAACAAGATTTTCTCAAAAAGGACTCCAATTTTTTTTCTTTAAACATTTTGAACAGATAGTTGTGATTGCACTCTTTAATGTGATGTAAAGTTAATGTCAGAGATTTTGTTGTGTTTTTTTTTCAAAAGTTATACAAATGTGAATTTTTTGAAAGATCTTTCATTCCGTTCATATGCACATTTCCATCAATTTGTAATCACTGTTGTATTTGTAAGTTAATGTACTTACAATGACTTCAAATAAGTTTTAGAAAAACTCAAAAATTTTCTGAGAAAATGCTTCAAATTTTGAATTTATCGTAGCGCTTGAACGCCAGTTTTTTAAAAACAGCTCCAAATTTTTCAAACACATGGCCATTTAGGACGAGGTTTTTCTGCTCTTTAATAATCTTAAAATAATATTTCCGCTCTGTAATTACAAAACCAAAAAATTAAGAAAAATTAAGAAAAACGTACTTTGGGCGGCGATGGATGGCAGCAGGCAAGAATATGAGACAAGTTCAAATAGCTGACCGAGACCTAAGGAATAGAAATAGAAAACTAATATGGGAAAGTCTGTGCTAATCTATTGCACCACTAGTTATTTATTGACATCATCTCAAACGTTCTTGGCCTAGAAGTTAGCAGTACAAATCATGCTATTGTCAGCACAGTTTCTCTTAGAGCAGGAGAGAGAACCGCAACAAAAATGTGGATTATCAAATAGGTTTTGAATTATTTCTGAAAGGTTAATTTGAAAACCCAAGCTCGATTAAATAACAGCTGTATCTTATCACCGCCTCCATCTTGACGTTCTCAAATATCGATTGCAGCATTTTTGCACAAATTTCAATGAAGCTTTGCGAATTGCTTGAAAGAAATACATCAATACATTGTAGAAAAGTGAAAGTGCAAGAATGTAAAAATTGAATTAATGTTGGCATTTTAAATGGTAAATTATAACTAAAATCAAATTAATTATTTTTTATATCATTCATTCAATTTTCTTGTGACTCGTAGTTGATGTGTATATATTTCATTAATTTAAAACAGCCATTACACAAAAACTACTATTTTTTTCAAAAAATTGTACACGATCTTTCTTAAAGAGATAATTTTGTACAATAGACTTTGTCTGAGTCAAATATGCTTATCTTCAATTTTGTTGCTTTGAATTTTCGAAAAATCAGGAATTTTATTTCTTAATAAATATTATTCAAAGAATTAATAACTTGCCTTTTGAGTTAAAGAAATAAAATTTGAATTATACTGCAATAACTTAAATTTAATGTTTTAATTCAAGGTGACTGACTTCTAGAAGACAGGGAATTTAAAGCATAGAAAATGTATGGGGGTAAACCCAGGGAAATGGCTTGTTAAGTCATAAAGTATGAATTTGATGTGAGACTTCCTGGGCTGAAGGAAAGAATGCTTTTTATCTATATGAAGTGGGCATTGAGAAAGTAATAAAGGTAGTGGGTCTTCTATTTTAAAATGCCAAATGAAATTATTCCTATGACATGCCCAGCCTATAGACACCAATTTGGATTGTCCTTAATGATTACAGAATTCTCCATACTGAAATGACATTATGGTCAAAGATATAGTTATTTCTGAGTTAAAGAAATCTAGGAAACACAGGATGCTGTGTCCTTTTTTCCTCAAAATTACCCAAATGCATTTTTAAAATATATATATCTCGCATCGTTTGTATTTACATTAGACACATTTCTTTTACATTACTGTGAACATGGCATGAAATAATTTGTATGAAGTTTCTTGAGAACAAAAAGCTTTGGTTCAAAATTCAAAAGAAGCGTTTTCAGATGACAAATGACATTTTCTCAAAAATAGTCTCAAATTTTTCAGTGAAAAATTGCAAATAGGGCCAGGTGTACTGTTTTATATTCTTAATATAATAAGGAAACTTATTGGTACAAGAAAACCTGTGCCATTCTGGTGCATCACTGGTTGTAAATGGTGTAACTAGTTTTCTAAATACTATTTTCTTAGTGTAATATTAACTCTACCTTGAGTTTTAACCTCTAAAACTTGTGTAGTTTTTGAAGCAATGGTTCTTTAATATACATTACGGGATGAGAAATAATGCATTTTTGTATAGGTGACTGGATGTTTGGGATTATGAAAATTGGTAGTTTGAATTTTTACCAAAAGGTTGACACATTTATTACACAACTTTGTTTTTAATTTGCAATAATTTTGTTTTTCATAAAAAATCACCAGGATTTTATAAACAGCAAATAAATGAATAAAGGGACATTTGTGAAATAATATTGAAGCAACTTTGATTTTTTTAACTTTGCAAGAGAAATCTCATCAGTAATGAAAATTAGAAATTGTAGACTTTCTACAATTATTTTCAGGCAGATAAGTACATCATTTATCCTTTTATTAAAGTATAATGAATCCTTATTTTTCAGCGCGAGGTGGCTGATTCTTATGCAAACAATGCAAGGATTATCGAAAAGCAGCTTGAGAGAAAAGGAATGAACAAAAGGAAAATGGTTGTGCAGCAAACTCAAGCTGAAATTGATGCTAAACGTAACAGAGTGAGAGGAACACTAATTGATAAATGAATATTCAATGTTAAATTGAAAGAGGTTTTTGAAATAAAAGTTCTCATTTAAGCACCTTATTTATTTCTTCAAAATACACCATTGCAATATGCCCTGGATACATTACAAATATTAAATTTGCAATAAATAATAAAGTACAAAAATAAAAATAGCATGCAACATCCGTGTAACAGAAGATAAAAAAGCATAGTTCAATGTACAAAGATAAACTGGTAACAGTGAAAACAGTATTTTGGTTTCAACATTAAGAGCATTCTTATAATTCCTCATATCTCACATGATATGAAAATTATGTTAAAGTAAGGAAATGAAAGAATTTATTATGTATTTTAACAAAATATGTATTGCACAATTTTGAAAATCACAAAAGGAAATAATGTATTGCAACCGAAATGTGCAGTACATGTTCTTGAAATAAGAGAAAAATGCCAAATATTGACTTTAAAATTCCTTCTTAACGTTCAGAAGGAACAATAACATAATTCATTATAATATGTATGTAACAGTTTTAGATTTAATTACCTATACGAGTTGTCACATGGCAGCTTGGCAGCTAGATATTTACTTGAAATTAACAATGTACAATTTCCTAGATATACTTGTTATAAAGAACCAACATCAATTATTTGACACTAACTTTTTCACTGGCCTTTTGTGCTTTAAAACAATGTTTAAAAAAATAAAACAATTTTCAGTTGTACTGCTGTATACTTAAGTACATATATTAAAAATGTGAAGTAAAGACATGAACATGACACATACAAGGATTAAAGCATTTTTAACCTTTAGAGATATAGGAACAAGTATTATTTCTTTCGAAATAAAACTAGAATCTTCACAAACAAATGCATTTGTTTTGGTGCAATGGCAACATAGAATTTTCATAGCTATTGATATAATGTGAATCACAGAAATTAAGAACAAATTTTCTGATAACTTTCTTTCAGTTGTGTTCTTCAATACTGTAAAGGAAATTTTGACCCTCAAGGTTCTCATTCTGTCAAATAGCTACACAAATGTTTTTCAGTGTTCTTTGGGAAGCAACTTACTAACCTTGACATTAAGAATTGGTGAAAATTTCCTCTCGGCGAATACTCATTAAATTACTGCAAAGCCATACAGTAAACAGTAGCAAATTGCTATTCAGTTTTTAGTAAGAACTACATTTCTTTCAAGAGCTCACTGAATTTTTAGTCTGGAATATCTGTAGAATATGTATTTGTTTCAGAGAACTTGTCAATGTGTAAAGTAAACTCTCTTTATTGCACTACTAAAGAACAGTTAATAGTACTGAATCCCAGGAGTTTTCCTTTGGAATGTTTTTGTATAGTGGAAAAAGCAATTCCTTGAGTCAGTAAGAATGTTTCTATAATCAGGAAGATGTTTTAAGAAATCAATACCAGGATATGCTAGGATATGAACGATTATAATTGTACGAGAGAGTTTACTTTTACAACCACAACAAATATGCCACTACGAGCATGTGGACATTTTGAACGAACCCCTTTTATGTTTTTTTATTTTGCAGTTATCTACTGTAATATTGCAGCTAAAAATAAATTTGTAATTTCTGGCAGGAGTAGATTGGTTACTTCAATTTTTTTTTCTACTTGAGAGCAAATTTACCTTTTTGCTTTTGACTAACTAAGCTGGAGGCACCATTGCTTTGATCAACATTCATTTTTACTACATTCTCTAAATATTCTGATGTGCTACACTATGTAATACACCAAAAAATGAATGGCACAGAAACAATTGACTCCAAAAAGTAGAGTAATGAAACTGAAGTCACAAGTGCCAGTTAAATGATAAAAGCTGATTGAAGTGAAAAGGAATGTACACAACTAATGACTAGCAAGTATGAAAGGCCCAGAAAACCCCAATTTTTAAGAATTGTACCACAGAAGTAATAATGTCTGCATATAAAAGGACATACCTTAAAAGTACAACTGTATTTTTAAAGAAAAAGACAAACAGATTGAACATGGAGACTCTGAGATTCCTAACATTGTATTAAGATTATTTCAATAATTGCACAATAATTATTATAATTATTCATTTACTGATTGTACTCATCAAATATTAAATTATTTTTGAAAAACTATCTAATAACGATAGCAACACAGACAAAATACATTTACAATCTAAAATGCGCTGCCATAACATATAAATATTTTACAGTTTATAATATACTTCAAATTCTTTGCAATATCATAAAATTGATTAAATTATAGTACCATATATACACTTTGCATGGCTCAATGACTAGGTAGAACTGCATTTTCAATTGCCATTTCCAACAAGAATGCAATTCACTTAACTCTTCACATTTTATCACAATAAGCAAAACAGATGGCATATATGCACAAACAAAAAAAATAACAAAAATAACAAGGAGTTAAGATGGTTTAAAGTTGCTGCGATGAATTATTAAAAACATTTTAACCACTGTCCTTAAAGAGTAGGACTTAAGAGAGAAATTAAGCAGCATTCGATATAGTACATGTTCACAGGAAAAGGAAAAATGGGGGAAGTTCTTAAGACACCTTCCATTATGATGCAAGTACTACACTAACTACTGAAACAAGTATCTTATTTTAACTTATCTGACAAATAGAAAGACTGATCAAGATAACCACTTATTTTACTTTGAGAGTATTCATGCTGCTTATTATCGTCACACTTTTAAATGCATATAAGAATTACCCATTCCTTTTTGAAAATAAATTTAAGAAACACTTACATTCTAGTTCAGAATAAATACGAGCTGTGGCATCACTTAGCTCACTCTTGAACATTGTCTATGTCAGGTTTTTTCAATATCGTAGGTTCATCTTTCAAGAACGTACCAGATCTTGAACCAACAGTTGGAGGTTTCTCTTCACCTGCTTCTCTTTTAGAGACTGGAGGTAATTTTGTGTGACAGTCAGAGAAACGTTTATTTCTACCATCTGTTATACTACCATTTGCTGTTTTCTTTGTAACATTACTGATTTTATTAGTAACTGTTTTATTAGGTGTGCATGTAGAAACTGTTTCTTTTGAAGCACATTTCCCTGTACCACACTTAACTCCTTCTACAATTGGCTTTGCAGGACTTGCAACTACTTGTCGTATCTGATTACGAGTAGGGGTGCGTTTTGTCGTAGTACTACTGGTAGAAGGACTGGAGAGTAATTTAGTTGTCAATTTTTCAGACTTGACAACTGCAGTAGCTTTAGATGGTGTCAGTTGCTTAACACCAGTAGTGGGAGGAGCATTTTCAGGCTTAGAAGCAAGCAAAAGGCTTCTTCTTAGTGATGGTGATCCAGTGTAGGGCGAGGATGACACTGCTGATCTTATTCGTGTAGTGGGAGAATCGCGAGGAGATGATACAGACTGACGAGTGATTTTCCTAACCGCAGAAGCAGGTGATCGTTGACTATCATTTTTCACATTGCTCAATTTCACTATTTTTCCTGCTTTATTTTCATTTCTGCTACTCCCACTGGAGACTCTTCCACTTTCTTTGGCCCCTAGAGATGCATCTCCAGCATATGATGAATCAGTGGCTAATGAATCGGTTGAAATTGTCACTTCAACACCTAACCTCCCAAGAGCATTCTTCTTTCTATCTTTCGGAGTTTCAGGTCTCGTTGTAATGGAACTATGACTTGGAGCACTCACACTAGTGCATTCTTTGCCTATTGTTTTCTCTCCATTTGCAGCTGAAGAAAGGGAATCTGTAGACATTACAACATCTTCTCGGACTTTCCTCCTTACTGATGGAGTATCAGGTCTAGTAGACTGACAGCTGCGACTTGTTGCACTTTCAGACAATTCTTTTGCACTACGTTTTGTGCTTCCATTGGAAGGAGATTCGGTCAAAGAATCAGTTGAGATAGCTGCAATTTCTCCATCTCTTTTTCTTCGAGTCCGCATGTCTCGGCCAGGAGGAGTGTCTGACCTATTAACAACACCTCTACCTGATGTTCCGCTAAGAGTTGAAGCTCTGACTCTACCAGAACTATCACTGCCAGGAGCTGAACGTCTCATAGCTGGGGATGATGTTCGAGATGAATCTGAGGAAGATATCAAATTTTTCCCAGACCTTCGAGGTGCAGTGTTATTTGATTTTTCTGGTGTTCCTGTACTTGATGTGCTAGAGTTTACTCTATATTTGGTGGATCTAGACTTATTCTGAAAAACAAAGAAAGTAAGACAATTTATTACACATAACATTGGAATTATTGAAGACCTAGAATCTATTGTAAAACCATAACAAGAATACTAACTTCAAGAACTCTCATTGGCCAAGTCTTTGGTCTTGCTGCAGTTTCTCCATTTGAAGCTTTACTGCTATCATCAGTAGTAACTGCTTCTTTCTTTACTTGAGATGTATGAGGTTGTTTAGCCTGAGCTTTTGCTTTGCTGTCTGCTTTTAATGTGGAAACACGACCACCGGACGCAGCCCTGCGAGCCTGCTGTGTCATTGCAAGTCTGACCTGACGCAAATCTAAGCTACGAAGGCCAGTACTTGATACAGATCTAGGTCCAGTACAATACACACTACTGCTACCACTGGTTCCTCTCTGAAAGAATGCAAGTAGAGCTTAAGAAACATTAAACATAATTCCTGCTAGCCAAATTATTGTGACATAAAAATAATTTCTGTACAAAACAATAAGAATAACAACAAAAATGTATATAAATTGGGCCAAATGCAGTAATACGTACTTTGGTGATGTTAGATAATCGAGACCTATGATCCTCTCCAGGGACCAATACTAAACAAGCTATTTCTTGGATCTTTCTACGAAGTTCTGGTTCCATTTGGCCCCAAGATGGGCATCGAGCAGCTCGAGGTGCTTGTCGCACTAAACTGGCTTCAACACGTTTCTGAATGCGACCCAGCAACTCCACAAAGTTCTGAAGAACAAATGACCCAGAAGAGCCATGATAAGTTTTAATGAGAATTTTATGGAATGATTCCTGTCATAACATTCAATGAATATTTCACTTGCCTGACTCCATTGCATTTCTGGTGGTGGCTCAGGAGATCGAGCAAGAGAAAGAATTTGATGTAAACGTGAATAACTTTGACAACACTGATCTGGAGGGAGACGATCAGTTGCTGCCATTATGCTATCTTCAAGGCGGCTGATGTTCCAACTAAGTTCTTTTCCTAAGGACAGGAAACTGGAAGGGGACAAATTCTGTCAAAGATCATATCACAAACACTGAAAAAAATGGTACAGTAATTATAAATACTTACTTTTCACTTGCAAGAACACCACTGAAATTGTTGGCTATATATTTAATTGAGGCTTCCAAAAGTTGTGATGTTATACCAAAAACAGGTTCTGCCCAGCGCACATTAGGAAGTGTAGCCATCAACTTATCACAACACATTACTGTTTCAAGAACATTGTCAACAGACTGAAAACACAAATTAGAATCATAATCCAATGTTTATAATTATACTTATGCCATCAACAGTTAAAGAGTGAAAATTTTTCCCACCATATAAACAACATGCTGTTGATAACACTTCTCGACCAGTTCTCTAGGAAGAGATGCAAAGCCTTTTGTAGGCCATATTCGCACAAAGTATTTAGTTATCCAGCGCAAACTTTTCCTATAAATTTCATCCAAACCATAAGCGGCGGCAAGAGGCAGACATTCCAAGACGCCAACAGTGCACATAGTGCAAGGCTGAAAAAAAGAGCTTTCATTGTGAGTATCAGAGTATGACACCAGAGAGACAGATTACAAAAATAAATAAAATAAAATAAAAAAATAATAATAATGTTTACCTTATGAAAGAAGTGACAATATTTCACTTTAAGTGTATACATAATGACTTCTTTTAAGCCTTCCAGTCCCAACATATCTGCCAGAGTGGCCAATTCAACAATACTAATGGTATCAGGTATATTACTAGTGCCACTGTAAATGTGACATAAAGCAAAATGAACAGCATTATAAGAAAATCCTTGCAAAGAAATAACATTCCCTGCGCTCTCAACCCAGCCACCACTAAGCATCGCTGCAAAATACTGGCAGCGTGAGGACAAGATGCATTTGTGGGCTTTCAGTCTGCGACCACCCACTTCCACTGTGACATCTGGGTTGATTTCTTCTAAGAACATTCGAAGAAGATCCTCTCCGAGCCTTGACACAGGGCCACTGCGCCCAGCGTATGAAGAGGAAGCATCAGTTTCTTCTGTACTGCCTTCTGAAAATAAATGCTGATGGTTATTTGTGATTTCCTAATGTATTTTAATTGTATGTTTCATCAACTCCATTCCATTGATACAAAAATTTTACAACACTTACCAAGTCCAGAAGGACCCATACTGCTCTGCATACTACTCAGATCAGAGGTCTCTGAAACTTGCATGTCGTTGTCATCAACTTCCATCTGGCCACCAGGTGACTTACTGTATGTTGCACTTGAAGGAGAAGAAGAAGCACTGCCACCAGTATGAAGGTGGGGGAATAGTCTGCTTAGAGATTTGCTGGTAGATCCACTACCTATCGATCGAGTCATTAAAAGTTTATTTTCAATCCATGATGTTTCAGGAATACTTCTAGTCATTCTATTTGTTGCAGAGAAAGATGGTAGAATATCACTGGAATCTGTAACATCATTTGCCTTATTAGGTTCTTTATCAAGATCTGAGAGCCTGACAAAATTTCCACCAGAACTCTCCACTTTCTTTTTTGTTTCATTACTGTCTCCCTTTTTCTGCATTTCTGGCACAAATTCTGTTTTCCTGTTGTTGCCTGCTCCTCCAGAAGAAACACAAACAGATGACTCTGGGATGGATTTTGCTTGCTTTGAAAAATTCTCTTCATTCCCCATAGTTTGTGATTGATAACTTTCTCTTGTAACTGCTTTCTTCTGCTTATGTTCTTCAATTGAAACTTTTGCTAAGTCTTTAGAAACATTTTGATGTCTGCCAACATCTGCAGAAGTTAATTCTACAGGGGTATTTCTCTTTGAGGCACATCTGTCTTGAACAGTAACTTGGATTGCATGCTGCAACTCAAGTTCTTCAACTTTTTCCAAATCTGACACTTCTACGATATTTACGTTAGCTTCTTTCAAAGTAAATTTGACATTTATGTTTCCTGAAACTTCTGCTTTATGACTTAAATGGTCTACATTTGTTTGAACGCTATTTCCACTTATATCATCTTCTGTTTGTTCTTCCACACTGAAAGTACGTTGCAAAAACTTCTCTTGACTTTTTGAAGAGAGTCGGGCATGACAAGAAACTGACATCTGAGGCATGCCTACCTCAGATGGCATTGCTGATTCACACAATGAGTGACTACTTCCTTGTTGTTGTGTTTTTGCTAGAGAGCTAGAACTGGAAGACTTGTGTTCATCTCCAGGACTGCAAATGGAACTTCTGTCAACAGATACACTGTGGGCTCGTTTATGTTGCCTTCTTGCAGTTAAACGAGTGTCTTCAGTCTGAAGAGTAGAACGAGTTTCAGGATTCCATGAGTGTCTATTAAAACTGGGTCGCAATCCTGAAGGAAGAGTTTTACGCCTTATCACAGGAGATTCATTTTCTATGAACATGAAAAAGCTCTGTTTCTTATTTGCTTTATGTTCATTTACTTCTTCTAATGATGAAGGTTGACTTTGTGCTACAGTACATTCACTTTTACTACTGGATGTGCTGGCATCAATATACATGAATGTGCTTTTTGGACTTTCTCCTTGAGGCAGCTGATCATCTATATCAAACGTTGCTGAATTAGGACGAGAACCTCTGTCAGAACTGTCCCTAGACAATGATGCTCGCCTTAACCCTAGTTTTTTATTGGAAGAGAGTAATGGTGAAGATGCCACTTTACTTTTTACTGATTCTGCAGAGCCATGTCTACCACTAGATTCCTTCTTGGAATCACCAATATCAATAAACATAGAAAATATCGCACTCTTTCTGTCTGGTGTCACATTGTCTTTTTCATCTTCACTAGACAATCTCTTAGATTCAGTATCTTTTGGCGCACTGCCATTTTGTCCTTTGTTGGTTAAATCTACAAAAAAACCACATGGTGAATTCTTTCCAGATGATTTATTATCATCACTCTTTGATGTCTGCCGTTTAAGATCTCGTTTCTCTTCAAAGGATGATGATTTTCTGTCCCATTTTTCACGGCTGTGTGATCTGCTTCCTTCAAATCCCACAAAATATCCAACATTTACAGGAGTTGATTCCAAGCTTTTCTGCAGTCTTACATCTTGGATATTTTCTCGTTTTTCCTTCAATCTTACTTCAGATTGTTCTTTTCCTGGTGAAACTTTAAGATCCACAAAGAACCCTAGAGAAGAAACACTTTTTGATTCTGAAAGAGGTGATCCTGACTTTAGTTCTTCTTTCAAATCTGAAGGTCCTTGAAGCTGATGAAGTCCTGTAGTTGAATCTGACTTCTTATGTTTTCGAGAATCTAATGGAGGCTTTGCAGCATTTCCAGCGCAATCACTCATGTCTACAACCCAAGCAGCAGCAGTACTTGCTGAAGGTTGTGGTTTTACCTCTGGCAGAGCTTCTTTTTGCTCAGGAGATACAGGTGCTGCTCCAGAAAGAATTGGTGCTGCTTCATTCTTTCTTCTCATGATTGGACTTTCACTGACTTTCCTTACAGGAACAGAGAAATCAATAGTTGAAACTCCACCTGACACAATTGGCGTCGATTCTGTTCGCTTTTGATGTTTCTTGGGACTATCCCATAAACGTTTATCCTCTAAACCCAAATCACTGCATGTTAATGCACCAGAAATAACTGGTTTACAAGCTATATCATAACTGCTCTGCCGTGTGAACCCTGAACTCCCATTTTTCATGCTGTGTTCATCTGTATCATACTCGCTTTGATTATTTTCATCGTCAATTTTATGAATTCCATGATATTCATAATGTTCATTTAATTCTTCATCTTGTGCTTTTTCATTTATTTCTCCGTTAATGGCTTGCAGTCCACTTTGAGTAATACAATTTAATGGTTGGATAACAGTACTTTCATTCTGGAAGTTACTGAACTGTTGGTCACTGCAACTATCATCAACAGACATTGCACTCTGTACCTGACATGGAAGACTAGTGTCTGTATCGACAACTGACATCTGCAATAGAGAATTACCAACAGGAATTCCAGGAAGAGACATCTGTTGCTCTTCATTTTTGTGCATGTCTCCTCCATTTTCAGTGCCCAGCACTAATAAACTCTGTGCATCTCTGAACCCTTCACTCCCAGTAATATGACCAGAGAATTGAGGAATGCAATTCTGAAAAAGCAGATTCCCTTGCCTTCTTTCATATTCTTGTCTCAGCAAAGCAATGTGTTCTTCATCAGGATCTAACTCAAATGTATTTCTTCGGATGAGACTTGGCCTTCGAGGGGCCTCTAAATCTTCACTTTCTTCCTCTGGACTTTTCTCAAGATTTTCACCACGTCTGCCATCAGAAACATGTGTACTTGATCTTTCAGTTTCACTATGTAAGTACTTTTCATCATCTTCAAGCTCTTTGATATGAGATCCTTCATCTTCATTCACAGTTTCTATTTCATGTTTCTCTTGAATATCATCATTGGCTGCTGCTGAATTATCAATTATAATATCATTTTCTGGATGCAACTCTTCATTATCGAGAGTTTCTGAGTCCCATTTGAATTTTCCTCCAGGAACTTTACGAACAACTTGAGGTTCCAAGTGTTCAGTCATCCTTAATTCTTTCTGAAACTCAGCAAATAAATCTTGTCCATTTAACAATTTTACTTCGTGCCTGGTACCTCCCATTTTTAAAAATGTAACTCTCATCACAGGAGGTTCACTATATGAATTTTCTGACTCCCCTGTCCCTTGAGTATTGTTTACAGTTTCTTCTTTTTCCAATACAGGTTCAACAGCCTCACAATTATTTTCTACAATTGAGTTTTCATGGATTGGCAACTTCAATACTTCATTGATCATGACACCCTCATGTGACACACACATATGTTTAGTCTCCTCCTCAATTTCAGTAGGGGATGATGTGGGGGTTTTGGTTGTATTATCACAATGGTCTTCCCTTTCTGACTGGCTTGAAGGCTCCTTCACTTTATAAGATGTTTCATGTATGTAGAGAGGTGGGAGGGAGGTGGGCAATTCACTGTCATCTACTAAAGTAGCAGCATTTATAAAATAGTTGTTAGCTGCTCCAATTGATGTATCAATTTTCCAATCATTGCATTTCTCTCCAGAAGTAGGCTGATGAGAGTCAACTAAATATTCAGTTTGCAAATCTCCTAAACTGGAGACTTTTCTTCTGTGCTTCAGTGCATCAGTGTCACACGAATCTGTCAGAATTTCACTAGCATTACTTTCATTGAAAGCATCGCTAGCAGAAACATCAAATGTATCATTCATATTTTCAAATTTTAAACTGTGCTCTCCTTGGCGATCTTCACTGTTTACATCAGTTTTTTGACCAAGATCAGAATCAGTCTCAAGTGGAATGTTAGTTTCTTTTTGAACAGCATCATTTGTTGAAATATCTTTTATAATAGTATCTGGTGTCACACAAGATGCATTGTCTGAAGCAGAACTTACATGATTTTGTGATGTTTGTAAATTCACTAACGTACATTCTCCTAAAATCGTATTTTCTGTCACCTCATGACATACATCATCATCAGTCTTTGGCTTTGGATTCTGCAAATCCTGAACAGTACTTGATGGAGGAAACGTAGTGTCCCAAGTGCCAGCCTCTGAGGACACAGAGGAAGAATCAGATGATTTAGAAGGTTTTGGTAAATTAAGTTCTGAATCTCCATCATGAGGCATGTCTTCACCGATGGCAGCTTCTGTTAAGTCAACACCAGATGTTTCAGAAACTGTATGTTCACGAGGACTGTTGAAACCACCTCCAGGCACACAGCCTGTGGAACAAGTGTCCAGTCCTGAATCTGGCCCACCTCCACTGGCATCCATCTCAGGACTGCAAGGGGTCAATGTTAAAAAGTCGTCTAGGTCCTTGTCCTGACAACACCTCAACCCACAAGACCCATCTCCTTTAGGGCTAAACATAAATTCCTCTTCCTCATTCTGAGACAAATTATTTTTAGTTCCTCTGATACCCAAGTCAACATTCTTGGTAAAAGTGGAAAAGCATGTTACAGACTGCACAGAATTGTTTTTTTCGTCAGCAAAACTTGAGCACAATTTAGCTAAAAAAGTACTTTTCTTAGAAGAACAACTTTTTTTCAAATTCTCTTCATTACTTTCTTTGCTGTTGTAAGTAAACAATTTTGAGGAACTTGAATAAGGGGGTAATGGCCTAAATTCTGAGACATTTTTTTCCTTTTTATTAACTGGATCCTTCAAAAATACAGCATCATAACTTTGCTTTTGCTTTTTGGAGTACAGACTAGATGACACAGGTAATGATGTGGGTTTATTAATTTTACGAGTTGTTCTAATGATTTTCTTCTCTTTTGATTTAATAGATTTGAATGACTCTAAAAGTTTATCTTGTTCAGCTAATTCTTTTGCTAATACATCATGTTCTACTGACTGCTGCTGAGCATGTTCCAGAACTGGATCTTCACGGAAAACTTCATCAACAGCAACAATAGTATAATATGACCTATTTGTTTTATGCAGATGTGTACTAATTTTATCTTCTACCTTGGGAATTGTGGTGTTAATTTCAGAGCTAACTTTTTGATGTTGTTCTTTACAGAATGGAGAACAAAAATCAGATGGAGAACAATTTGGCGTTAGATATATATCTGATTCTGGACTTAATCCAGAATCCTGACTTGTCCCCCTTTCAAATTTACATGAAAGTGATCCACTTTTTTTAACAGTGCATGGTTCATTTATACTTTGTAAGTACTGGACAATATCATTTTCTTCTTCAGCAATTGCACATTTACAGTAGACATTCCTGTAATTGTAAAAACACATAGTTACATTCCTGTGAATGTAATAATGTAAAATTATTTTGTATGTTGAAAAAACTTACTTTAAACCACTACTCAAATAAAATGTACTACAGGGTTATCGATTACACAGAAATCACTCTTGGCGAATCATTCATTTTTCCGGTCAAAAATTACCTTACAATTACTTATCACAAACACACCAACAAAAGAAGTAAACGTTCTGTACCTGGGATTTCTTACCTAACAAAATCTTTGATGTAGTCTGATGAAGCTTTCTCAAAAGCTAAAGAACATATATCATTTTTGGATAAAGCAAGCAATGATTTGTTGCACAAATGGGAAAAAAATCTAGCTGCTCTAACTTGCAAGATACTCCTGTGAGTTTTGATAGTGGTGGAATCAAATATTAATTCCAAATCACAATACAAAGAATCGGAGAATGTTCTGTAAAAGTAAAAAATGGGAAGATTACACATCAGCTTCAGGCACAACTTTGTGTGAAAAAAGGCAAAGGTCAACGAATATTATTTCATTTTCAGAAGAAAATGTGTAAAAGAAAAATATTGACACATGTGAAAGAGAAATAAACATACTTATCAGTCATAAAGACTACTTCAAGTAACACTAGCATATATAACATTAAAATTAATGGAATATATATATAGGAGCATGAATTCATGGAATAAGCAAAAAGAAAACTAGCAAGTAGTATTGATTCAGTAGAAAGTATTACGGAATTAAAATTTTTATTTTCTTACGACCAAAAATATCAGCGAATACTTGAATTGCAATTCAGTAACCCAGGAAAGGTGATATGATTTAGGCAATGTAGCAAATAAAAAATGTTTAAGAGGACATCTACAAATCCCAATGTCAATTTTTTCATTCGTATATTAACTGTAAATTGTTAGTAATTTTAAGCTGAATAAATAGTTTCATTTGCTTTTAAAACAACATTATTGACTAAAATTGGTCAGTTGTTATAAAGTTATCATCATCATCAAAGATAAGGGAGCAAATTTATTTTATTTAATTTTAGCTTATAAAGGCATAAGCCCCTTTGATTACAAAGATTATCCATAAAAATAAGACAAGAAAATTAAGAAGATTCTATAAAACTAAATTCATTTTTCAATTATATAGGTACACTAAGAAACAAAAGTATAATAAAAGAAACTTAAGAAAATTATTCTCACCTTCTGAGAAGATGGGGAAAGTAAAAGTCTATATTTGCTCAAATATAGCAGAATTCTACAAAAATATATTAGCTTCCTTTTAATGTTTTTTAAAACATAATAGAAGCCTGAAATAATAGAAATAAATGATGCAATAAAGAAAATAAACAGATTGAACAAAATTTATTTACAATTACATGCACCTCATTTCTAAGTTAATGAAAATCAGAATACAATATACATAAGGAACTTGAATTATTTGTAACATACCTGGCTATATCTTGTTGGAGTTGAAGATGCAGATGCTTTCTTAGCTTACACCACTCGGCATTGCGCTTCTTCTGAAAAGCTAAGGTGACTGATGTACTAGAGTCAGCTTCTCCTGCCATGAGGCATGACTCTCCCACTCAGTTCTGCACTCCACCACCTTTGTAAATATAAGTGAATAAATAAAAATGTATAGAAGATATTACCCAGATAAACATTACATTATTTTTTAAGGAATTCAGATTATGTCAATCCTGTTTTTATAATATTCAATTAATGAAAACACTTGTCAGAATTTTCATTTCTAAATAACACGAAATTTAATATTTGGTAAACCTACTTTATACATTGAAATAAATAAAATACTTTGACAGTTTTTGATACAACAGGCAGAAAATAATGATCGTAAATTTAGTTACATGTTCTACCTAAAGCAATTACCTAAGTTTTAATTTTAAAAATTCGTTTGAAATTAAGTTATTAATAACAAAACCATTTCTAATGTCCTTATTTCGTGGTTGACATGTCTATTAGACAGCTACGCCCACTTCGAGAAATTTAATCTACCAATTACATTAGTACACAATGGTGACGATATAATGCAATGAAAAGTAATATTAATTAGTACAATTTACCTCACGTGAACGCAATGCAGTTAAATAAGATGTTAGTAGGGAAAGTTTCGTAGTGGCCCACATCACCTGCCCATTGCTGCACTTGCTGCTACGATCCGAAGACAGCCGACATTTCGATTTTCATACAAGTCAGTAGCAGGGGCTCCTAGCTTCATAGGGCTGGGCCTGGCCTGCGTTTTCCGCAAAGTTTAGTTGGGATTCCGCCTGACGGAGGGCCCTGCAGTCGCAGTGTTAGAAAGAGAAAGCGAATATTAAACAGAGAAAGAGAATTCGAATGACACGAATGCGACCGAGAATAAGCGAGCGTTACCGAAGACATCGATGTCCGCGGAGGACAAAGATGCTTTGAAGGACAAAGGCTTTCTTACTTTTGCTGTTTGCTTTTGTGTCCGGTTGTGTCCTTGACGATCTGTGACCTCGGCGAACACTTTTTCACATCAATTTTTTTGTAAGAGGTAAGACTTCGGTGTTATTATTAAATCATTAATGTTATTATTGAATTATTTATATCATTAAATCATTATTAAAGCCTAATACATCGAAAATTTGGTCACATTTATTATATAATGTTGCGCAAGATGTCTTGTGTCTGGTTTCCAGATGTCCTACCCGGGTGTTGCGGTATGTACGTAACTTTTAAATCCTTAGAAAAGCGATTGGAAGGAATCCTCGTTCCACAGATTCCTTCCGAAAAGACAAGGCCCGTCTTTGTCTGCAGCAACATGGAGGAAATTTGCAGGAATCCAGATGGCGAACAGGATCCGTGACGGCGTATATGCAGTGCGCATTTCAGGGCTGAGGATTTCATTGCTGTTGCTCCACAAGGAGACTGCGATGTGGTTGCAGTTCCGTGGTTTACGTGAGTATATTTTTCATTTAACCTTTTAAAAATACAGATCGCAGGTTACGGAAATGACACAATTGTAAGTCTTTTGGATGTACTTCAATCGTGGCATCATATTCGTGCTTTTGAAAGCCACATCAACATTTGGTTTAAATTCTTTCACTGAGATATATTTAACAATGTTGATTTATTTTATAGGAGATTCTGCAAGATTGACTCCATGCAATGGAATCCATTTCTCAGTCCCACAATATCAGGTACTTAATTTGAAGTGAGATATATGTTTTGTCATTTTTTTTAAATGAAAAATTTAATTTTTATTCTCACTGTTTAACACTCTTGCTGATCCGCCTGTGCCTGTCCTCGGAAGGTGAGGAAGAGATTGTAGCATCCAGTACATAGGGAATGGTCTTACTTCTCCCTCCCTGAGTCAAACGCCAATCTGGGAATGGCAAGTGCGTGATCCTCAGACAGAACCATCAAAACGCCCAAGCTCTCAGTCTTGCTTACAAAGTGGTTGGGATTCTCAAAAACCATTGGTAACTCGTTGAAGAATCTCACCCTCGTAAGCGTGCTGATGTATCGTGACCTTCAGGAGCGCAATCAAAAATCAAACATCTGCAAGAGCGTGTGAGTTCCTTCATCAAAAAGTACTGTCTAACGCGAGGAGAACGAAGGAATGGAACAGCCCTTGCAAGATGAAATTGGGGAACATATTTCCCCCTGTTTTATGACCTCCTGAAGCGCTCAGCTCAGCAACAAATCAAAATCTCCTTTTGGTCATAGATGGTCTACAGAAGTTGAAGGTAATCTTGCTTAGCCTTCGCACGCGTAGTCTTCAGGCATAATAAACTCTCAGGAAGTTCATGTTACTTCCTTCTCCTGATACTCTTTCACAACTTTCCAATAAAATTCCTTTTCATGTTGGCCTCGTGATGTTTTGCTTCAGCATTTAGAGGATCAATTACATTTATGACTCCAAATTTCAAAAATTTTGTTCCTCATTTTTGAATGAAATGTCAATTCAGAAGAATTTAACATTTTAGTCCGCCAGAAAATTATATATTTTGGCTATGAAGATATAGGTATCCCAACGTACGGTGTCAGTACGCCAGACGCATGCTTTGGTTTTTAAAATGGTTCGTGGTCTTCATTGACAATTGGAAGCACCTGTGGCATACTAATTTGTCTCATGGTACAATTTCGACCACAGATTTAGAAAAGATAATTGGCTGTCACAGGCGCTTTCAAAGAATTGGTTTAATATTGTGGAATTGTGAGTGACCGGGCACCAACTAACGTTCGCCTGCTTGAAAACTTTGGCCTTAAAAACCTGCATTGGGAATAGACAATTTTAAAAATTAATATTGTAAAATTGTTGTAATTGCTGATACCTCACTCAATGTTCTCAAAGCAACAAGAAATCGCTTCTTTTAGACAACAAAATTATTTTTACAAAACAGATAGTTGGAGAAGTTAAAGAAACTAGCTGCAATTTTAGTGGACTTTTTTGAAATTGGAAAAAAAAATCATTTAATAAGAACATGGGGAAATGCACAAATTGACATATTATCCAAAAGGAAAATCGAAAGTGAAGTTAGCTTGCTCAGGTTTTGAGTGTAACTGTTGCTAATGCATTCTATATAAATGCGGTGTGGAACGGGGCAAGTATTGGCTGAATTTATTAATGAACATCACTCGTCCTCTTTGATTCTTTAACGGTTTTGAACATTGGATGACACTCAACTTCTTATAAGAAGACCAACTGAGTATAGCACATCTCAAGCATTTAGCATTTCTGGCAGAGTAATGAAAAGGAAACTGGATTCATGGCAGTTTTGTTGATGCAGATGGCAAGTCTACTCGCTCTAAGGTGAAGGAGGCATGGTGTCCGAAATATCGACCCCGCTGTTTCCTCATTGTGGGATGCTCGAGACTTGGGAGTGACATCGTTGGAACTCGACGGTCTCAAACCAAGATCCCTCTTGAGATCTTCGGTGTTGTGAGGCAGCGTGGTATTCGCAACAACAACCCTACGATTCGCAGTTTGATTCCGGCTTTTGAATCTTGTATTTGAAAATGATTGATTGGTGCCAATGGTAAAATTTAACTGCGAGAAGCATGATGCAGATGTTTTAATCTAAATTTTGGCGTGAATTTGTGAGCAAGATTGGGAGTGTAGGAGCAACCAACACTCATGTTGTGATGTTTGTTTGACAATTCGCTTTCTTGAAGCGGGGGAGATGGAAGTGACGACAACAGTTGCCCTGGATCGCCACAATGCTTCAGATCCATCAGACGATCCTCTAATAGCTGATGAGGGCAACCAGCAAAACAAGTAAATTCTCAACAAAATTCCATTCTGAAGTCCTGCCAATTCTTAGTTTTGTTGTCCCTTTATCTATTCGCCACCATACTCCTCCCGCGTGAGGGAAGTAATGTTGTGTGTGTTATGTTCCAAACAAAGGATATTGTTTGTTAAATTCATTCTGGGAAGATATCTTTGAAAATTTTCAAATTTTTACAAAATCAAAGGGCATACCAAAACTTCTTGAGGAACTTGAAAATATTAATTGTCAAAATTCAGATTTTCAATTGTTGGTTGTAAAGAGCAATTGCTCTGATATACAAAATTTAAATAAAACTGTTTTGCTGAGCAAGAATGCGTAAATGAGTTCCTGTGCGAGGCGTCACAAACCTTTCTTTGAAAAGAAGTAGGTTTTTCAGTAAAATAAGTTAGGTGGTTATTTGGTTATTTTAATAGTTTTAAGTTTTAAGAAATAGTTTTATTTTGAAACCTACTTCTTCTTAATTAATTGCTTTTCTTGAATATGTTTGACCCTGGAGCCTAATTTTATTTGTTCTTTAGTTATAACTTGTACACCATGGTATTTTGCTGATTTTATCAGAGAAATGTTGCTTAATTTTTGTAAAATGCAAACTACATGTTACATTTACAACAGAAAATACAAGACTCTAGATTTTACTTTGGTTGTGTTTCTTGTTTTGCTTGAGATAGCTTAGTTTCTATCAATTTCAAGAGGAAAATGCTTGTCATTGACAAATACAAACTTTTTAAAGGCTCCAGGGGTAAATTTATAATATTTGCTGACAAAACTTGACAAATTTCCCCTTCTGAAACAATTCTTAAGTGTTGTTTCATAAATTTGTCTGGTGTGTTAGTTTCATTTGTTTTGTTCTTTGTGTATTGTTTTTTCGACATAAGAAGTGGTAGCACAAGCCCCTGGATATAAGGTTTTTGCATTCTAGTGGTAGTTGCACTTTAAAACACTGCACATAAAATGGATGTTATTTTCATCCTTTTATGGATGCCAAAAACAACTGAGAGGCTTATCAAGTTTGCAGTAATACTCAATATTACTTTTGTTAATAATTAATACTGCTGCCATTTTTAATTATAATTTATTGTATATGTATAAATTTGCATTTCATGATCAAGCACATTAACTTTACTTCAGCTCCATTATTGTTTGGAAGCAAATTACAACTTGGCATTCTCTTTGAGATTTGCTAAGGAATGGAATGTTGGAATTAATGACAGAAAAGAACACAGTAGTTTTAAAAATGTTTTTCAAAATTTACTTAAATGTCATTATTAGTTTCTTTGGACTCTGCGAGCTGCCTTTTTTGCTTGCTTTTAATGTAATCGACAGTAAGTTTGTCGGATGATAATAATTAAATGATATATTATTAATTTTTTGGAATCATTATTGTCATGTCAACTAGTTATTATTGCAATTTCATAAGTAATGTCTTTGCAAGCTTGGAAGCACAATACAGTTAAATACATTGGAATATCAATACTAAAATTTTTGATAATGAAGCATGTTTTCATTCCCCTAGTAGTTTCGGCAATAGCAAGTGGATTTGTATCACTTCAATATTATTGACTGAAAGAAGATTTCTTCCAGAGGCACTTTGAGATCAAGTATTTTTCATATAGTTATTGTGTTGATTTATTGAAGTACACTACATGATTGTTGTGAATTTATGATGTTTTGCTATTATTTCCAAAAATCAATATTTATCAAATTGTATTACTTGGAGAATTGTTGGTATATCTTCTTCTTTGAAAATTTACTATTGTTTTTTCGATTTAATTTTAATAATCTGCTCAATTTCATTTCAATTATTGAGTTGTTTTGTTATCCTGAGTCACTTCTATGGCCAGTTATATCCTACATTTCCTACTGAATCCTAAAATTAATTGTAAATTACGGCCAAAAGGAATGTACAAAAAAAAATACTGTGCATCTAATTGGTGGGAAATATTAACCCCCAATGGTACGGGTCCCCACCACCACTTAGTTTAATTGGGATTCCGCTGTTCGAGCGGCAGCACTAAGCTGTCGCGAAAATTAACACGTAGTTCGGTAGCCCTGGTCAGTAGCGCAAGGAGCGCTCAGCAGAAGCGCCAACAAGCGCAGCGGCAGAGGCGGATGCTTGCGCGACTTGCGCATGCCGCGCACGCTCATTATTTGAATGTGGAAAGGTCTTCTAACATTATTTTCATAGAAAGTGGCCCTTACGTAATTTTCATTTCATGAACCACTTGTTAATAATATAAAGAGTGTGAATGTCGGTGAGTAAAAGTAGGAAGGAGTTTCTTGTGATACAATTCTCGATAGTGTGTGCTTCTTGCCAATTTTGGATGATACATTTCAACATGTTATGGTCCCCAGTTGGATAGCTGAGGAACGATCTTTTTTTTCAATTTTCTAATCTAGTGTGTTGTAATTGACAATATGAAATGCCTTTAAGGAGCCAAAAGGGTTGTTTAAGGCAGTGGTAAAGAATGAGGCAAAGCGTTCATAGATTGTATGGAAATGTGCAAACATGGCGATGTGTGAGGTTGATGGCCTATTCATTTCAATAACCTAGTAATTAAAACATGTTGCCAGGAAGTAATAGAATCAACGAAGTATATTCTTCAGGAACTATGAATACAAAAGAAAAGGAAAAATATATTGAAGAATTCGACTTTCCGTTTTGTGACGAAGCCAGCAAATATGAAAAGGTTGCAAAAATTGGACAAGGAACCTTCGGGTAAGTTGATTTACAGTCCAACTGGTGTGATGTTTACGTGTTAATGTGTAATTGGTATTTGGGACTGCCCGATGGGCAACAGTAACTATTAATCTGTGCTTTGCTATGATGTTGCTTTATAGTGTCACTGAATTTTTTCTAATTACATTTTGTTATAGGGAGGTATTTAAAGCTCGTGATAAAAGTTCGCATAAAAAATTCGTTGCCATGAAGAAAGTCTTGATGGACAATGAGAAAGAAGGTGTAAGTAAATGCATCTTGTGTGCTTTCTTCATAAACATCAATGTATTCATGTGTGTTTGAGTTTCACCAGTTGAAGTGTTATTGTTCATTTTTTGAAGTTTCCAATCACTGCGTTGAGGGAGATCCGCATTCTTCAATTACTGAAGCATGAAAACGTAGTGAACTTAATTGAAATATGTAGAACAAAAGGTAAGGAATAATTAATTATTGTTTTTACTTCTATTTATTGCGTCTGTGGCACTAAAATTGCTTATTTTTGTCATGAAACAATCCTATGGTTTCCTGCTATTTTTATGATGAGCCAAGCAATGAAATTGTGCAAAGTGAGGTTGATTCTTGACTTTAAATACTGACTTTATTTATAGTTAATATTTAAATAAAAATCTGTGATTAAAATTTCTTAAGTGTTTTATGTAGTTGCTAGGGTAATTTACATAAAGTGAATTACAGATACATTGCTGTTGATTTTGTCTTACTGTAATGCACGAGGGTTAAAGGAAAAAACTTTGGTGTGTATTTGTAGTACTTAAGTGTGCTCAAATGAAAGTTGAGCATTGTATTTATTCTTGTCATGTGTAATGTAATTGTTGATATTAGCCTGTCTTACTGAAAAGTGACCAAACAGTGCCAAAACAGTTTTAGTTTTTTTAAATGTAAATTCAATAAATAGACTTGGGTGTGGGTAAACATTTTCTCAAGGAAAGAAATAAACATACAGAAAGAAATAAGACGAAAGATTGGACTTGGTAAGGTACATATGTCCAAACTAATGAAAAACACGAAAAGATCTGACATTTTGTGATAATTTAAAGTTTAATTAGTAAGAACCATAGTGTTTCCAGTTGTGCTTTATGGTTGTGAAAGCTGGACACTTTAAGCAGACAAATGAAAACAAAATTCATTTGAAATGTGGAGTTGAAAAAAGATGCTTAAGAGTTCCCTGAACTGCTAGGTGGACAAACACATCTATTCTAAAGGAAATTCAATTGAACTCTTTGTTAGTAGCTGTAGCTACTAGCCTTAAACTGCAATATTTCGGACATCTGACAAAAAGAGAAGTTTCTTTGAAGAGGGTCTCATGTTGTGGTATATTTCCGGATGCAGAGGTAGAGGCAGAAGGAAAAGAAGGTTGTCAGATGAAATTAAGACAATAATAGGACTAGATTGGAATTCTATCATCTGAGCGACAGAGGATTGAGCAAAGTGAAGGAGTATGGTAACAGCAACAGCAGGGAAAGTAGAAAAAGTAATGTATTAATTGGTGGCAGCCCTAACTGCTGAGCATATCCATAAATGGATCACCAGAGATTGCTCGCGACCTAAAGAACTACTACTACTAAACATTCTCATGTTGCTAAGCATTTATTAGTAAAGAGACAGAATTATCTGGTGCCATTAAGAGTTTGAAATTCTGTAAGTTTCTGATCATCTGAGCGATAGGTTGTTAGTACCCAGAAGAGCTAAATGTCACCAAAAAATTTTGTTTTATAGATTACTGCTAAAAAAAAATCACTCGCAACTCCTTGGAATTGGTTTTTATGGGTCTAATATGCACTGTTTTTGAGTTGGGACAATGAAATAGAATGATATGTTTTGGATTGCATAAGCGCATGCTTATGTCATTTTAGCATAAATTTAAAAAAAAAATGAATCTGATTGATGCTCTCTTGGAGCATTATGCAGATACATATTAAAATAGCCTAATATCAGTAGCATTGTATCAATTGTACAATGGCAATATTTTGTAGTGAATTTTCATTAAGAAGAGAAAATACAGTGTGTTTAAAGAATTTTTTAGATTGACCCTAGTAAAAGTGCTTATTTCCGAGTATGCAAAATGTGCTAAATGTTCAATTTTTAGCGACAGTTCTCAAAATGAGATGATAATTTTCAAATAAAGCTGTGACTGATCTTTTATTTGATCACATCACCTACTTCTGACCTTAATGCAATAGTGATTTGTTTGTGTGTATTAAAATTATATGTATATCAATGAGGCTGTCTAAAAAATAGGGTATGACACACTTTGTGAAAGTTAATTTGTTTTGCTCCTAGAATTGGATCACTTAGTGTATCAGCCTCACTTTGCAACATTTCCTACTTGCAAAATAAAATCCCAGTTTTACCACTCATATCATAAATAATTAATTAATTATTCTCAAATTTTTTATTATTTTTTGGATTTATCTAACTACTTAAACATACAATTATGTTATTTAAATAAACATTGCTCTTGTAATTGTTTATATTAATATCAATAATTTTTATTTTCAGCAACTCAATTTAACAAGTATAGGTCAACGTTTTACCTTGTGTTTGACTTCTGTGAACATGATTTAGCTGGTCTTCTGTCGAATGTTAATGTAAAATTTAGTTTAGGAGAAATAAAAAAAGTGATGCAGCAGTTATTAAATGGATTATATTATATTCACAGTAATAAGGTATGTCTGACCAGAATTTATTTCAAATTTTTTGCATATAATTAAGCATTATACCAAAACATTAATTAATTGACTTTTTTACAGATTCTTCACAGAGATATGAAAGCTGCTAATGTACTTATCACAAAAAACGGAATATTGAAGTTGGCAGATTTTGGTCTTGCCCGAGCATTTAGTGTAAATAAGAATGGCCAAGCTAATAGGTTGTGTTCTAGTGTTGATTATGAATTTAATGTGTATTAAAGTGTGAATCTTTTTATTAGTTTCAACATTATTGTTCTCATTTTATAGATACACAAATCGAGTAGTGACATTGTGGTATCGCCCTCCTGAATTGTTATTGGGAGATCGGAACTATGGACCTCCTGTTGATTTGTGGGGGGCAGGCTGCATAATGGCAGAAATGTGGACTCGAAGCCCCATTATGCAGGGCAATACTGAACAGCAACAACTTACTTTAATATCTCAATTATGTGGGTCAATAACACCTGAAGTTTGGCCTGGAGTGGAAAATCTTGAACTCTACAATAAAATGGATCTACCCAAAGGACAAAAGAGAAAGGTATTAAATTAGTATGAGAATGACAAGGTGCATTTGTGGTGTTCTTTTGATGTGACTTCTAAAACAGATTTGAATGCATTTTTATCGTAGCACTACAGCACACTAACAATATAATTTTGTTTACCTACTTAAAATGTTCCAAAGCAATTGTTTATCTTTTGTGTAAATTCAATTGAAGAAGCTACTTGAAAATCATGTATCTTCATTAGTAGGTAGTGTTTGTTAACATCTGAAAATTTAAATATTGTAATGTCAAAAGATTATCTAATAATTTGACAATTATCTCACAGTGAAGTTCCATAGAAAAATAATGATCTGTTAACATATTTCTTTTAGAGAAAGGTTTCATTCAATCGTGTTAATTTTTTTCCCTTTAAATTCTTATGATTTCACTAGATTGAGAAAAGTAAACCTTTTTGATGATCTGCCATTTCTGGGCACAACTGTGAAAGCAAACTTCAAACCATCCTTCTAGCTTTCAAAATTATTTTGTAAACATAACTTTAGTGATATGATGTTAGGGTCCAATCACTCTTTAATAAACTAAGACGGTCAACAGTTCGGACAAAGTTAGATATTTGTAGTAAAAACAGAATTGACTGGGAACTTTGACTTGTGTGTGTTTTAACAAGTGTTAGTGGAGTTCTTCAAAAGACACTTGTCAGCCTGCACTATCCAGTAAGAAATTTGTTTTGCCCTAAAGTCCCTCTTCCACCTTCTCCATTCTCCCCATGGAACTGCCATTAGACGTATTGCAGGGAGTGAATTAGAGTGACTAAGGCACCAATACACCCCTTCCACAATCTTTGTAGTGCTAGTCATGCAGAGATGTCAACATCATCCCCTTCTTTCTTTCTTGAGTCTTCTTAGTTCAACCAGTACTGGTTGTGTGATGTTGTGCATCACCCTTCAACTGATTTCAGGTGCAAGCATTTTCGTCTCTACAATTTCAGCTGTCATTAGATCTATCCCAAGTATCTCAATCATACTTTGTCAGTGTGGGTGGAAACATGGGCATTGAAAAAAACATATACTCAATATCCTTAATCCTGTTCACACACAGTGTACATATCTTCCAGTTTGAATCTGAGAAGTAGACTATAAAGCATCCATGACCCCCCATCAGAAACTGTGAAAGAAAATAATTTACCTTACTGTGCCTCCAAGAGATGTATGTTTCAGCCAAATAGACCAGTGAATTGTTTCATTTTCCCTTGGTGAATGTGACCCGTCGTTGCTGCAATTCTTCCAATAGTTTGAAGTGATCTTTTACTTTTCCATATCAACTTTGTTGTTTACTGTTTCTAGGGGACATCCCTATGATGATGAATACTGCTTCACACGAGGTAGTGTGGAATGCACATGCTAGCCTGAGCACAGATACTCTGTAGTCTGATGCCATTCTTCATACAGAGCTCTCCATTGTTTTGCATTAGCCTTATTGATAGTCTTTATTACTGCCACTTTTGTTGTCGCAAGAAAGATTCTCCTTTAACGACAAGCTTGTGTGGATCATGAGGCAGAGATCAATGATCCTAATGAAATTTGATAATCACCAACAATGAGTGTGATGGTTTCTCTTCCTATTAGTGACCATGATCACTTCAGTTTTGTTAGCTGAATTCAGTGAATTGGTCATGTGGTGATTGCTTCATTGAAGTTGCACACAATTTCTTGTATAAATTTCAAAATGCGACAATGGCAGTGTCGTGTAACTAAGCAAATCCTTTGAAATTGGGTTCTTCTAGGAGGCATGCTAAGGTCCTCATCATTCATATTCCATACAGTGGACCTAGCACCAAAACCTGGAACAGCAGTGATGTGTTTCTTCACTCCACCTGGCTGAGATGAAGGCCGTCTTAATGTCCACTGCATGGTTCTTTTTTCCCACCTGCTCTGTCTAATGGAGCTAGATAATGTCAACAAGAAGCTGACAGCATTGTCTGTACTTCTTTCTTTCACCTTAGTTTTTTCCAATCTGATTCTAAATGTGTGCTCGAGAGCCTTTCCAGCTGTATCAAACATTCACAACAGCCAGTAAGGCGATGGTTGATGTGTGTGTATGTTTTGTATTGATATTTAATTGCATTGAATTAGCATGTGTGGAATTGAAAGTCTCATGTCTCCATTTGCATTTTCATTAATTGGACCCTAATTTGCACATTCATTAGATTTGCTCACATTGTATGTTTGCTAAATAAATTGATTCGAATTATTGTCTTATTAATTATAAATTTCTTGAAGTTTGAAAAAATTATTAATGCAGTACATTTATGCTTTTTGGGTCCCATGCCTTACCACTGATTTTTGTTTAGTAGGATTAGCTGATAGCAATGCTGTCAACAAGTTGCGTTTATATTTAAGTGGAACAGTGTATCAAAATCAGAATGATTTTTCTTTGTGGTGAGAGGAAGGTTTCTTAGAAGCTCTTCAGTGAAGCTTTAACTCTGGAAATTAAAGTTTGTTGAGTTTAGCCCAACAATAGCCTGTTCTCCACTCCTTTGAAGTCCTCTCCACTCCTTTGAAGTTCTCTCCACAAATCGTTTGAGAGAGTGATGGAAGACTGGAAATATGTTGTGCTTCTCCAGTGGCTAATTTACAATATTCAAGTTTGCAAAATGACTTTCTTTGCAGACATTCCAGTTTGTAGTCTTAGAAACTCCAGAATGCTCTCATGATATGCTTTGTTTGGGATGGAACACTTCTGCATGTTTTCTCTGAGTATATGGAGTGGTTCTATTGAGAATAGTAGTAAGTGTAGGGTATATTGATGATCTCAACAGAAGAACCCTTAAATATGATCTTATCAGTTTTATTCAAGACATAATGAGATCTCAGGATATCTTTGCATGAGATCTCAGGAACTTTACACAAGTTCACATCAGCCTTCATGCTTCTTAAATATGTTTTCTTAGGAATACTCATTTAAAGAGTGCATGGCAAAGAGTTTCTTGCAGGCGTGCATGATCTGTCAATTTTGTGGGAAATTCCTGCATAGTGCATGTTTATATATTTTTTCATATACTATGGCATATTTGCTCTTTTATTCAGTATATTAGCCATTTGTTATTAGTTTTTACTCTCTTGCATTCTGCTTATGCAGTACAGTATGCAGTACTTGAAATTCTGCTGGGGAAAAACAGCAATTTTTCGACAGCAAAGTTCTATTGCCGGGCATTGGTAATGAAAATGGCAATAAATCTTGTTTCTTTATGTAGTAAATTACTTCCTCTAACACATTGTGTAGTCAGAATCCTTGTTTTGTGGCTCCTTGATACCGAAGAATTAATTGACAGGAAAACATTGATTATGCATGTGCCCTTCTCTCTGCCGGCTTGTAGTCGACACTAGCAGCACCTAACTTAAATCGTTCAGACTATTTTCTCTAAAATTAATATTTCTGAGTTGATTTAAATGAGCTCTGGGGCCCTGAAAGGAGTGAAGTTGATTTTGGTTTGAGGTACTTTATATGAAGTCTCCACTTCATTTTCTCAAAAATTCCATCAATTTTTTTGTTTAGCTTAGTCCTTGGTTTGCATAAAGAACTTAAAAAATGGCCTGGGTCTCAAATTCTTTAAAATCCATGATTTTTTGAAAATTGCATATGTTTAAAATTTTTTTGTTGTTTTCCTACAACTACATCATGTACAATATTGAAGCAATATTTTTTTCTCAATGAAATCTGTTATGCAAAGACAGATCTTGAAATAGGGTAATGTACAATACAAAAATAAAAATACAAAAATATGAGTAGGATTTTTACATATTACAAGAAATACAGGCCATTCAAAAACATTTTATGATTATGATTTTCTCAAAAACACCTCCAAATTATTTCTTTGTGTTTTCTTCTTGTATATATCAAAGGAGGATCTAGAAAGTTGAGTTGGCCCTGTTTTAGCGCACTGTTTTTTTGAAAATTGCATATGTAAAACATTTATGTATGCTTTTTCTTACATTAAATCTCTTCTAAAAAATCAGTTTAAAAAAAAGGGCTTGTATGATTTTTTTTAAAAGTATGAGTAGTTAAGTGTAAGTTTTCAAATTTGAAAATGTGAATTTCCTGCACTTCTTTTGCTAGAATCTTCCAAGAGTTATGAGGCTACTGCACAACAGTAGGCACGCCGTGACAGGGCAGTTTAAATTTGCTGAGTGACTTCTCATTGTTCGGTGGTGTTCCTGAGTGAATGGAACAGAGTTGTAGATTGTTCAGTTTGTGATAATGTACAGCTTTTAATTTATAACATTTTTGCACCTAATTTACTAAGATTGGTTATGAGTTTTACAAGTGATGTGTTAATTGTGGACAGGAATTGTGGCATCCTAATGTGAGAAATTACTGATTTGAGAAAGTACATGCTGTTGTACCTCTCTTTGTTGTTTGCATAAATTGTTTTGAGATAAAAATTCATATGTCTTTACAAACAGATATAAATAACAATGGACAATGAACAGACATTGTTTTTCTTCTTTTATTGCTAAGCTGCACATTTTTAAATTTACGGGTTGGACGAAAAGAAATTACAAATACCTTCTTTGTACTAAATAAATACCCATTTAAAAGACTACAGTAAAACTTTCTAAATGCCAAATCTTAAGAGACCAATATTTTTTCCTTATTAACAAGATTCTGCATTACGCAATGTAGAACTATAGAATTTGTTTGGGAGGACTGTGAATTATATTTAAATTAGATTTCTGCATTTTTTATATTTCCATTGCGGCCAGTGCTAACTGAACATAATGCTGTGATAATACAGTGGGAAGTGAAAAGGTTTCTGAGGCAGGCTGCATGCTGACCGGTAAAATGTTCCATGCAATGTCCCTTGAAATGACAGGAAATTCCCATGTCCTCGGATATCAGTAGAAGGGAAGGTGTTTGCAAAGAAGACATATCACTCAAGAGCGTAAACATTGTTCTTTCTTTGTGAAGAGTAAAGTGGTGGAATAACAGATTCATTCATTAAGTATATTTCTATTACAACTAGTATTGAAGAACG